CACCGCGTGGTGCTTACGATGGCGACGCACCACCTCCCGCACCAACGCTCACGGCCCGGACGATCGGGCGCTAACACTCACTCCGGAAGAACTCGACGCGGCATACGTCCTTTGGCTTCGAGTGGTGCAATCACTGCACTATCCGGAGGAAATCAGGGCCGTCACCGCCGGCCGCACTGTGCCGCACCGCAGCCCACTTGCAAAGCTAAGTCCCTTCCTCGACGACCACGGCGTGCTCAGAGTCGGAGGGCGACTCAAACACGCTCTGATTCCGGACGACGAACGCCATCCAATGATAGCTCCCTCGGAGTCCTGGCTCACGCGCCTGCTCGTGGAGTCTTGCCACCGACGAACACTCCACGGCGGAGTGCAACTTACGCTCGGTACTCTCCGGCTCCGCCACTGGATTCCACGAGGCAGAGCCGTGGTGAAACGGCTGCTGCCTCGGTGCGTCACGTGCACCCGATGGCGAGCCGCCACTCCGCAACCACCGATGGGCAGTCTTCCTCGGGCACGGGTCACTCCGGCGCGTCCATTTCAACGAACCGGCGTGGATTATGCCGGCCCGATCCACATCCGCACAACCAAAGGGCGAGGACACCGCGCGCACAAGGCGTTCATCGCCGTCTTCGTGTGCCTCGTCACCAAAGCGGTGCACCTGGAGGTAGTCTCTGACTACACGACGGAGGCGTTCTTGGCCGCCCTCCGTCGCTTCACTGCACGCCGAGGGCTCTGTTCGGACATCTACTCCGACTGCGGCACCAACTTCATTGGAGCGGACCGGGCATTGAAAAATCTTCTCCGCGCGTCGTCATCCGACGGCCGGCGCATCGCTCACGATGCCTCCGTCCATGGAACTCGGTGGCATTTCAATCCTCCAGCCGCACCGCATTTTGGCGGACTCTGGGAGGCGGCGGTGAAATCCACCAAGTTTCACCTGCGACGAGTCATCGGCGAGACGACCCTCACCTTCGAGGAAATGGCCACCTTCCTCGCTCAGGTCGAGGCGTGCCTAAATTCTCGGCCACTACACGCACTCTCTGATGATCCTGACGACGCCTCGGCACTGACGCCGGGGCACTTCCTCATCGGGGCACCTCTGCTGGCGGCTCCTGAGCCGTCACTTGAAGAACGGCCGGACAATTCCTTGTCTCGATGGCACCTGGTGCAGAAGATGCGCGATCATTTCTGGCAGCGGTGGTCGCGCGAATGCATTCAGCACCTCGCTTCTCGACCAAAGTGGCTAGCAGCTGAGGACGCTCCTGTGGTCGGCATGCTGTGCCTGATCCGGGCCGAGATCTCGCCGCCGAATCGATGGCCTCTCGCACGGATCGTGAAGCTGCATCCTGGAGACAACGGCGTCGTTCGAGTGGTGACCGTCCGCACGGCCTCCTCCGAATTCGTCCGGCCCTTTGTCAAACTGGTGCTGCTTCCTGGGGCCGCCGACACCACCACCACCGTCGAGGATACGTGAGCCACCGAACAGCCCTCGCTTTCTCGCGTAGAATCGCTCGCGTTTTCCTCACCGTCCGTCTTTTCGCGTTAGTACGTTTTATCGCGCGTCACTTCGCGTAATTGTCACTATTGTCCTTCCGACAACGTGCTACGTGCACGTCACGAAATCAGTGAGTTCGGCCGTCAGCCGTAACTCCACTCACACGCGCGTTACATCACCTCACTTTCCCGGTTTCAGCACCATGCACATACCGACGGACCATATTCACGGAAACATATGTATCGCGCGAAATATGTTTCTCGCTCGAGATCGTCGCGTGTTATGACAATGCGCAGCCGCACACCTCGCAACATGGCCGCTCGCACTCGCGCCGGGATCGAGACCATTAATCGATCGCTAATCGATACGTCGCGCCGCAACAGCGCTCGCCTCAGCGAGCGCACCGTCTCGTTTCGTCAACATATGACAAGGCGGGCGGGAATGTTTGAGATCGCAAATTTAGCATCGCGACGAAGTCGCGTTCGGCTGCATGTCTGCACATGCACGCTTGCCGTTAATTGAGTAAAATTAATATTCGCGTGAAATGCCGCTCAAGAATTGTCACGGGACATTCGGTAAAGCATGGATCTTTCAGGATTAACTTTCCAGAAACTTTAACTTTGTTATCAATAATAAGGTCAAACAACAACGCTAGAACAAAAGAACGATCCATGCTATACACAAAGGACTCGAAACCAGGTGACGACCCCGTCGGGTCGCCACGTAAAACCGGTGACGTCAGCTTCATGACGCGAGCCTCCGACGGCCAATCACCCTCCCGAAATTCTGGGAAATCTGCAGGGAGGGAGTTTCGCCTCGGAGGTGTTAAAAGGACCGCCGCTGCGCCGCGGAACCGATTTCGCTCGCAGATCACTAGTACACCCGCTTTGCTATACCGCTTAAACCGCTTTCTCATAGATAGTCGCACGCGCTTGCTTTCGCCGCTTTGCCGTATAACGTCTGTGCGCTCTCACGGCTTCGCTTTTTCCGCTGGAAAGAAACAAGACTGTACATATTGTAAATACGTTTTCTGAAAATACAAGCTTTATTTTTTTGTTACTTGCTGTGTCGTTGATCGTGATCGTCTCGTTACCTCGCGCTACATCGCGCTACCGCGTGCTCTCGGACAAGATACAAGGATTAATAAATGACTAGATTAATATGATATAAAAATATATGATCCATGTTGCACAAGGAAAATGATTTTTTTTAAATAAAATCGCCAGTCAGTGCAAACTAAAAATCTGCTACACATTTTATTTGACAAAGAAAATAGAATAGTATAGAATAGATATTGAAATTTTTAATATGCTTGTAGAAATCCTATTCATAATGTTGTTTTTGTTGCAGCGTACGTTAACGTGTCTACCATTTTATTTGCAACAACTTTTCTCGTGTCACGCATTTTGGATGTGATATTTCCGTTGAATACTTCCCGCCTTGTAATATTAGCATCCGGCATACTATTTCGTTGACAAAAATTGATATTTTTATTATATTTTCCTTTATATATTGATTACCAGCAGTATGTGCATGACCAGATTAATTGCGCACGATAGCATGTATTTTGTTTACGTCGAACACATCTGCGATCTTTTCGTCATGTAATGATTAATAATTGACGAAAATCGATATTTCTGTTATATTTTCCTTTATATGTTAATTACCAGCAATATGTGTATGGCCATATTAATTGCGCACGATAGCATGTTTTTTGTTTACGTCGAACACATCTGCGGTCTTTTCGTCATGTAATGATTAATAATAATAATATTTATAAATAAGAAAGAATGATATAAGATTATTTCCTAATACCTATCTATTCATAATATTAAGTCTAAAGTTTTAGAGAGAACAATATGAGGAATACTTGATCAACACTTTAATTTAAATTT